GCAGGACTCCAGGTCCAGACGGACGCGGGTGTGGAGGGTGAGCCCCTGGCAGCTGGCGTAGGTAACTGCGTGGCTCGGCCGGGTGGCCCGCAGCAGCTCCTGGTTCTTCAGCCGCATGCCGTTGTCCAGCCTCACTCCGTCCGGATCCACTTCCGCCACGGCCACAAAGACGCCCTTGGGTATCTTTCCGCCGGCCCCGATGAGGCGCAGCCCCGGCCAAACCCTCATGCTCTGCGGGCTGTTTTGTGTTATACATTTATCACACCCATTGGTTGTTGCAGTTTGGCAACACCCATTGGTTGTTTGGCAACAACCCAAATCTATGTGGATGACTTGCGTCTCCAGCTCTAGGAGCTTTGAGGCCTCCGGCGCCAGGGCCCGGTTCGCCGCAGCGTTCACGGCCATGCGCTTGCTGTGGCTGATGACCAGCGTGGTGTCCGGCCACCCGGGCTTGGAGGGGTAGAGCTCCTTCAGCCTCGCCTTGGCCTGCTCCAGCGTGGGGCACACCTCCTCGCCGACCCGCAGCCACTTCACGAAGTCGAAGATGCCGGGGTCGGAGCGCATGTTCTCCGTGAGCTCGTGCCTGTGCCCGCCGGCCAGGTCGCGGATCAGCTGGCTGTGCTCCAACGGCGCGCTGATGGGCCGCCGGCCCAGGAGTCCAGCACGGCCGGCAGCTGCCGGAAGTCTCCCAGCAGCAGGAACTTCACGTCGGCGTTCAGCCCAACGCAGGCCAGGTCCGCCCAGAGCGCCATGTCCAGCTGCGTGATCTCCTCCACCACCAGCCAGTCCAGCGTTTGCGCGCTGCCCCCGCGCACGTACCTGCGCACCCAGTGGTCGGCCGTCTGCGCCCCCAGGCCCAGGTTCTGCGCGGAGCAGTGCGTCTTTGAGACGAGGTGCACCGCCTCGCCCTGCTCTCGCAGCCTCTCAACAATGGTGCGGGCCAGGTGCGTCTTTCCGGTGCCCGGCAGGCCCGTGAGCAGCAGGGAGTTGCCCGCCAGGCAGTGGCCCACGGGGTCGTCCACCCCGTTCCACCTCCGCTGTTTGGGGCGCTCCGCCTCCATGCGCGGCGCCCTGCCGCCCAGCAAAGGCTTCGTCTCTTCCACGCGGTAGACCGGCGTGCCGTCCGGGTGGCGCAGCGCCTCCAGCGCCCGCAGCCGCTCCGCGAAGCGCTTCGGCAGCCGCTGCGTCAGCAGGCAGTCCGTCTTCACCTGCGCCAGGTAACGCGGCGGCGCGTCCAGGATGCGCCGGGCCTTGGCCACCATGCAGTGCTCAAAGCCCAGCACCGCGTCGTGGATGGGGCGGTAGGTGCCGTTGCTCAGCAGCCTCCTGGCGTAGACGAAGTCCCACACCATGCCCCCCTCGTAGGCGAAGGCCTGAGTGAAGTCCGCGCCCGCGCCGTCCAGCTCGCTGCTGCTGCTGCGCACGCTGTAGACCACCTCCGTGCTGCGCGCCCACAGGCCTATCATCGCGTTCACACTGAGCTTGGCCATGTGCTCCTCGCCTTCGGGCCACGCGGCGTCCATGCGCTCCAGCGCGCGCCGCAGCGTCGCCGCGTCCACGTGGCTCCGCGCGGAGATGCCCAACACGATGTGGTCCCAGCGGCAGACGCCCAGGTCCAGCATCGCGGCCAGCGAAACCTTTGGGTACCAGCCGGGCCCCACGTACGGCAACAGGTTCAGGCAGGACTGCCTCGCGTCGCAGCACCCCTCCACAAAGCCCAGGTCCGGCAGCACGCCGTCCACGGGCTCAACGCCGTCCGCCGGGCACAGGATGGGCAGGGGGAAGGGGGCGTTGGCCAGTTGCGCCTGCAGCGCACCACGTCCACGCCGACGTACGTGCTGTCCTTTGCGCACGTCTGCGCCTCAAAAACCAGAGGGGGCAGCTTGGGGCTCCGGGCGTACTCCATGACGCCGGGGGCCACGCGGCTCTCCAGGCTGGTGGGCTGCGCGCTCTCCCTCAGCGTCTTCTCGCTGTGCAGTCGCCGCACAGCGCCTGCAAAGTCTGCACGCTGCCCGCAAAGGCCTGCCTCACCGGCACCACGTGGTCCAGCTCGCAGGTGCCTGCCGTCAGCCCGCAGCCGCACAGCGCGCACTTGCCGTCCTGCGCGGCCAGGGTCTTCTGCCTCTCCGCCGCGCCGGGCACCTCCCGTTTCGCCTTCAGCAGCTTCAAAAAAATCTCGTGCGCCAAGCCGGCCAGGCGCTGGCCCCTGTACTCCTTTGAGCGCCTCGCACCACCTCCGCAGCACCTCGTGCTCCTCCGGCAGCTCTCGGATCCTGGTGCCCCGCCTCAGCCTCAGCCCGCAGTACTGCGCCGGGCTGCTGATGGCCACCTTGGGGCTCTCGCCGGCGGCCATGAGCTGGCGCCGCGCCTCCCGCAGGTCCTCGCACCAGAACAGGCCCGGCTGCACGTCCGCGGCGTCAAAGCGCCTCCACTCTTGGATGGGCGGCAGGGTCTGCCTCGCCTCGCCCCGGTAGAGCACGCGCGCCGCCTGCCTCTCCAGCACCCGCTTCACGGCCCTGTACATGTAGCAGTGCCCGTCGAAGGCCAAAAAACAAACGGTGCGGTGCTCCTTCAGCGCCGGGTCGTAGCTGTCCACCAGGTCGCCCTGCGAGCTCAGCACGCGCATGCGCGCATGGGGGCGTTGCGCCACATGCAGAACTCTCGCACCTCCTCGGCGGAGATGCCGAGGCGCCTCCAGTCGTGGCGCAGCATGGCGTCGAAGTCGGCGCACACCTCCTCCACGCTCAGCTGCAGCAGCTCGGCCAGCTGCCGGGGCACGCAGAGCGGCTTGTCCTCGAAGGCGCTCGGCAGCACGTCCTCCTCGCAGGGCAGCTGGAAGCTCACTCTCCTCAGGCCCCTCATGCGCTGGCGCAGGAGCGTCTCCACCTCGGTCCTGGAGTTCCTGTAGTGCGTGCTCTGGGTGCTGACCACCCAGCGCCCCTCAGGGTCGAGGAAGTAGGTCTCGTCCGAGAGCTGCAGGATGGGGCCGCCCGGGTCCAGCGAGGCCTCCACTTGTTGCCTGACCCGCTGCGCCACCTGCTCCTCCGTGAGGTGCGCCGGGTGCCTCGTCATGGCGCCGCCCAGCTCGTTCACCGGCAGCCAGTCCCTGCGCTCGTAGCCCGCGCCCGCGTTCCGCCCGCTGCGCCGCCTGCCGCGGATGATCACCGGCACGTGGACCAGGTACTCGTAGTACTTGTCGCGGAAGAAGCCCTTGCCCAGCTTGGTCAGCCGGTGCTCTCCGCCCTGCAGGGAGCGCACGAGCTTCTTCTGCCCGTTGCGCAGCAGGAAGTAGTCGTTGGGCCCCTCGCGGATGAGGGGCTGGTTGTAGTCGAAGTCCTTGCTGGGGGGCCGCAGGCCCAGGTGGGAGTAGTAGTGCTGGCCCGCCCGGGTCAGCTGCCCGTCCGCGCGCGAGAGCAGCGCGTAGGCCCCCCGGCCGCGCCGCAGGTTCAGCACGACGGCACCATCCGCCCCCGTGCGAGCCCGGGCGCCGCCGTCCGCGGCCTCCGTGATCTGCTGTCGTTGTCTCGCCCAACTTGCCATTCTTTTTTTACGGGCCCAGTTTTTTTTTGGTTGGCGCACTCTCCCCGATCATACGTGCCCGTATGGTTGGGGAGAATGGCTTTTTACACGGTTTTGCGCTGAAAAAATGCTATTACTGCAGCCCGTATATCTATATACGGGCTACAGTAATAGCTCGTTTTGCACGATTTTTGCATGGCATGACATTTGCTTGATTTTGCATGGTGTTGCTTGATTTTGCATGGTTTTGCATGATTTTGGTGTGCTTTTTTTTATGTCCCGCGCGGGACGCCTCTGTTGGGGATGCTGGGGGATGCTGGGGACGCCTCTGCTGGGGATGCTGGGGATGCTGGGGTGCGGGAGCGCCGGAGGTTCTCGCGGCTGTTTTGCACGGATGTCACGTTGGTTTGTTTTGATTTTGACTGGAGACCTCGGGTTCGTGTGGCAAGAGAACTTTGAAGGTTAAAGTGGAGGAGGGTTCCATGCGAACGGTTGAGTGATGCTCCGCACAGCGCCGGCTCGAGGACAACAGGAACAGCACCAGCAACAGCACCAGCAACAGCACCAGCAACCCCTCGGCTCGGCTCGGAAAACAGCAGCAACCCTCGGCTCGGCTCGGAAAACAGCAGCAACCCACGGCTCGGCTCGGAAAACAGCAGCAACAGCATCAGCAGCAGCATCAGCAACAGCACCAGCAACCCCTCGGCTCGGCTCGGAAAACAGCAGCAACCCTCGGCTCGGCTCGGAAAACAGCAGCAACCCTCGGCTCGGCTCGGAAAACAGCAGCAACAGCATCAGCAGCAGCATCAGCAGCACCAGCATCAGCAGCACCAGCATCAGCAGCACCAGCAGCAACATCAGCAGCACTAGCTCGGCAAGCGGGCGACACAATGTCGTCCGGGCAATGGTGGGACGAGAGCTGGCGTGCTCCGAGGCCAGCGTGTTTTTTTTTGGTCTTTGTCGGCGCCATTCATGACCTAGGCGTGGGATCGGCGGCAGGAGGGCTTCCAGAGGCGGCAGGACGAGCGGATGGAGCAGGCCCCCCCTTGTTTGTTTTGGTCCCTCACATCATTCGATTTTTTTGCAGGTACGCCAGATCGCGTCCCTCACCGAGCAGGTGAAGAACGAGACGGCCCGCGCGGTGCGTGCTGAGCAGAAAGTGGAGGCGTTTCGCAACCAGGTGGCGCAGCAGAACGCGGACATCCACGCGATGGCCACCGAGCTGACGGTGGGGAGGCTCAACATCGCGGAGCTGCAGAAGGAGCTCGACAAGGCGCATGCGTTGTTTACGGGCTTCAGACTGTGTTTTTTTCCTGTGGAAGGCAAACACGCCGAAGAGGGCGCGGAAGGAGCTCGACAAGGTGCCTCAGGTGCGTTCATGACCCACTCCTCTGTTTTTTCCTTTTCTTTCGCAGGCGGACACCTCGAAGAAGACGCGGAAGGAGAAGTAGACCTAGGCCTGTCACGGCCCCATTTGCCTTTGAGTTGCATCAAACCCTCACTTGTGCGTCAATGTCATCCATTTTTTTACAGCTGTGTTCCTGCTCCCCTGAGATGCAATTATCCCTCCGTCAGGTGGCCATCTGAGGAGCATTGGTGGCCCGCTTGAGTTGCGCCCGCATGCGTCAAGGTCGTCCATTTTTTTGCAACAATCTACGGGAGGCGTGATGTTTGATTGTGCATTCACACTGCATGGACACATGTTCTGGGCGGTCCTCACGTGGTCGTTGACAGGCGCTCATCTGAGAGGGCATCCGATTTTTGACCGCCGGCAACGGCAAAACGAGCTGCTCGAGCAGCCGACGATGTCGTGTCGTGTGTTGAGGGGGCGGGGCCGCTGTGAAAGTGGCGGCCACTGTATAAGTGGCGGGGAGGGGCCACTGTTCAAGTGGCAGGCCACTGTACAAGTGGCGGGTGGTAGGGGGCCACTGTTCAAGTGGCAGGCCAGGCACTTAGGGGGTGCCGAGCGGGCACGTAGGATAGTACGGCTTTGCCCAACGACCCTTAGTACTGACTCGCCCAACGGCACTTAGTACGGGTTCGCCCAACGACCCTTAGTACGGGTTCGGCCCATAGTACTGGCTCGCCCAACGGCCCTTAGTACTGACTTGCCCAACGACCCTTAGTACTGACTCGCCCAACGGGCCCTTAGTACTGGCTTGCCCAACGACCCATAGTACTGGTTCGCCCAGTTCGCCCAACGCCCTTGATACTGGCTCACCCAACTGTTCTCGAGGCTTCAATGCCAGGTAGGTGCCGAGGCTTCGATGCCAGGCTGGTACCTGGTTGGTGCTCCCGGGGTCCCGAGCCGTGGCCGTATGACTGTATGATCCGTATGATCCGTATGATCCGTATGATCCGTATGATCCGTATGATCCGTATGATCCGTATGATCCGTATGATCCGTATGATCCGTATGATCCGTATGATCCGTATGACTCAGCTGAGGCTTCAATACCAGGCTTGCCGAGTCATACGGATCATACGGATCATACGGATCATACGGTCATACGGTCATACGAATCCCCCTGGGCCGGGACGATGATCAGCGGGTTGGGCCGGCGCCGACGTCGACAGAATGTGAAGGTTTTGCATTTTTTTGCTGTCACTCAACGCCGGAGTCCCGCGTGTCGGTGATGTTTTGACATTTCCGGCGCAGATTGAAGCTCAAACAATTCGATAGTGCCGGGGAGGGACTAACGCCGCGAGATCGCCGCCAAGGCGCAAGTTGCACGGATCGCACGGTTCAGACACATGTGATGGTTCGGGGCTCGAAGCGGGGGCTTAGTGCCAGGACAATGAGCCACGCAACCGGAGGGAAGCGTCGATGCCGGGCTGCGTCCCGGGGTGATGGTGGCAGGCGGAAAGGGGGTCTTGCTCGTGCGATTTCGTATGATTCACGCGCCCTCATAGGAACGTTGCGGAGCCAGCGGAGCCGGCGGAGCCCGGGTCGGCCTCGGACCAGGCGACCGTGGTTCTCACGGCGCCTCGCATCAACATGCCCTTCGTCAAGGAGCTGCTGGGCACGCAGGACACGTGGCAGTTGCCACTGGGGAACCTGGCTCTCTCAGACCACCTGGAGTTGCTGGACGAACAGCCAGAGGCCCGCTACCACGAATCCAAGCTGGCAAAAAGCCTGGGCCTCTGCTTGCGGCTTATCGGCTCCATGGGCAGCTTCCCGGTCTACAGCATGCCCAGGCGGTCAGGTGGGCTGCGTTCTGCGGCATGCACCTCTGGGAGTGCGACATGCCGGCGTCCCATTGCCAAGCCATGCTGGGGTATGCGCTGGATCACTCCATCGCCCCGGGACCGCTGGAGGCGTTTGCGTCCACCGAGCAGATCGCTTTCCGGCAGAGCATGCCACCGCTCCATCCGAAGGACATCAAGCAAGCGACGAACTTGCTCGCCTATGGCAACGGCCTGGTCGAGTGGATGAAGACGCATGGGATCGTCACGTTACCGGGACCGCTGGCCGACCTCAAGCGGGTTATGACGTGCGTGCGTGAGCACGTCTGGCATCACATGCCCGAGGGCTGGAAAAGGGAGCTGAAGGCCACGAGGCGACGACCAATCCTCGCGGCCTTGTCTGTGGAATGCGCCTCGTCGGGATGTGCGGTTTTCTTTTTTTTTTTGCGGCCCCAGCTGCGTACATCCAGGAGTGAGCATCAGCAATGGCTCATACAAAGTGAGAGCACGCACATACATGCAGGCTGCACCATCGTCACATTTGGGTGTCCCAAGCCCCAGTCGCGCGCCCCTCAAGACTGGACTTGGGGCCAAATTATCGCTCCTTTTTTTTGGGAGCAAAGGTCAGCGCCGGGAGCGGCAGAAGCTGGACGCGGCGGCTGAGCTGCTTCCCGCCGGCTGTGTCGTCCACGGTTACCTGGGGGACTCGTTCCTGTTCTCATCGAGCGACGGAGGCTTCTCCGCAGAGGCAGAGTCGAGGACTTTTCTTCACCGTGAAGCCGATGCCGGCCAACGACTCGGAGTATTTTGAGGCCTTGCAGGGCATCGGCATGAGGCACAGCCGGCTGACGCTCTCCGCGCGTCAGAGGGTGCGCCTGGACGCAACGGCCACGGTGCGGAACTGGCTCAAGGATGAGGAGAAGCCCCACCTGGACTTGGCAATCTCCGTCGAGCACCGCGTGCCCGTGAGATGGGACCACCAGCAGGACCACATGGAGATCTACAACGCAACGGACGGCGTGTGGTCCACGGGCAAGTGCGACGGGGCCTGCAAGGGGGAGATGCTGGCGAGGGCCCTGATCGCCACCTACGGTGCCAGGACGTGGCGCCCCGACCCGGACAGCGGGAAGTGGCGGCTGCAGGTGAGGGACGACGTGATGCTCTTCCATACGGCCCCGATTCTCTCCTCGGTGGGCGCGATGCTGAGCAAGCTGGACAACGGCGACTGCATGCCGCCGCTGGACCAGGAGCGCCATCACCACTTCCAGATCCACTTCAAGGGTGGGGACAAGCTGAGCTTCCTCGCCCACCCGCCTCCTCTGCAAGACTTTTTGGACGACGACGAAGTTTTTTTCAGAGGGCCATGGAGCTGCCGATGGCGCGGACCGTGACGGCCGACCGCAACACAAGGTCCGTCCCGCGCCAGTTCATGGAGTACCAGCATCCGGATAGGCTCCGCTTGGCTCGGGCCATTCTGAAGGCCATGGCCTGGTTGACGGAGGGCGGCGACTGTCGGGATGGCGTCATGGTCCTCCCCGAGGACATTGTCGAGGAGCTGGAAGCGGCGTCCATGGGGCACGCAATGTGGCGCAGCATCTTTCGCGACCCGCACGGCGGCGACTGGAACGTGGCGCTGTTTCAAGCCAGGCTCATCTTCGAGAGCGTGGTGGGCAAGGCCGCGAAGAAGATCGAGTTTGCGACGCTCAAGGACAACGGAGACGGCTCGACGGGCAAGGGAACCTTGAGGGAACTCTGCGAGAAGGCGCTCGGCGTGCACAACGGCGGGGTGGAGCGCGGGTACTGCGCAGTTCTTTGCCAGGAGGCCCTCACTGTCGGGAAACAGGAGCGGCCCCGCGAACAGTTCGCAAACCTACAGGGCAGCAGGTTCGCGTGGGTCGACGACTTCGCGCCGAATCAGCCTCTGTGCAGCGCTGTTTTGCGGCAGATCTCCGGAGGGAACACCTTGACGGCTGCGCGGGAAGGGCCGGGGAGAGAACATTTTCAGCTTCCACGGACTCTTGCTGCTCTGCACCAACGGCGTGTGGCAGGCCGATGCCGAGTTCTTTGGCTCCGACAGGAGACGCATCACGGGCGTCAAGTTCGAGCACAACTTTGTGGACAACCCGACACGCCCCCACGAGCTCCTGAAGGACAACAGCGTCAAGCAGAACATCCCTGAGATGTTCGCGGAGTTCTGGTGGGTGGCGCGAGTATTCTGGCTGGCGCCGCATCCCGGGGAAGCAGCGACAACACCATCCCAATCCCCGCGAGCTCAATCTCTCTGAAACAGGACATCACGGAGAGGACTGCCCAGAGCACTGCTCAACCCTCCAGCATGCCAGAGGCCTCGGAGCTAGTGCGGCGCTACCTGCAGCCCTACGTCCTCTCCGAGACAAGGCCCGCCACGTCCCAGGAGGTCGACTCGTACATCGCCGACCAGCTGTGTGTGAGCCCCACTGCGGTGAGGGACGAGCTCAAGAAGATCTTGATGCGGAGGGAGGGGGAGGTCATCCCCCGATTCGGAGCCCGGGCCAGGACCTCCGCGCGGGTCTACGTGAGGCCGTCGCCGCGCCAAATCATGACACTTGTCGTGTCGGCGTAGCTTCTCAACTTCTGTGCAGGGGGTATGTGCAAAGAGTGGGCGCGGCAGTACAGCCCGTGCCCCGTGTATCCGACGAGCTCCCAGCACGGCAATGATCTCTCATCACGGCGATTGGCCGTGCGCACAGGCACAGTGTCGTGTGTTCAAAAGAAGAGCCATGCGATTGCACGCCGTATGAATCCTGTCCAGTTGATTGATTCTGAAACGTTTTTGCATTTTTTTTTTTACAAGCTTGCGTGTTGCCGGTAGCGCTTCAGCACCAAACGGCGCGTATGATCCCTCGGCCTGTGCCAGGCAGGGACCCGCCCTGGACACTGTTTTTTCGTTGGAAGCGGCCCAAAAAAACCCAAAAGCACTCCGTCTTTGAGCACTGTCGAAAGTGCCTCCCCCGGAGTGCCAGGCCGTGAGACCGTATGACCGTATGATCCGTATGATCCGTATGACTTGACAAGCCTGGTATTGAAGCTTCAGCTGAGTCATACGGATCATACGGATCATACGGATCATACGGTCATACACCATGCATTTTCCTTTCTCACGGCTCAGTCTCCCAGGCATGCCCGGGCAAGTGCTTGGAGGCCCGATCACGGTCAGTTGGGGAGGTACTGGTCCGCCCAACCCGTTTGGTTTGCCGAGGACCCCAAACCCTAAAGGGACATTTGCACCGTTTTGCGCAACAAAAATGCCATTCTTCCAGGCCCTATATCAATATAGACCCTGGAAGAACAGCTCGTTTTGCACGGTTTTGCGCTACAAAATGCTATTACTACAGTCCGTACATGTATGTACACCCTGGAGTAATAGCTTTTTTTTGCACGGTTTTGCACGGTTTGCCCACGCCAGCCCCCGCTCGTTTGATTGGTTCGCCCAACACGTTGGTTTCCCGAGAACCCCAAACCCTAACCCAAAAGGGCTTGAGCAGGGTCCGGGAATTCCGACGGGCCGGCGCAATGCCTCAAAACCTTTTTTTTTTTCTTCCAGTTTTTTCGCTCGATCAGGATCAGGCAAACTTGAGTGTGATCAAAGTTTTTTTTTGCGCCAAAAGGGGCTTGCTTCAAGCGTCCTCGGAAACGAGGAGGCCTGAAGAGTGCCTCAAAAATCATTTTCAAACTAGTCGAGGGTCCTGGGCCTCGGAGGCCCCAGGAAGTCGTCCAGCTGCCTTACAGCCGCCGGCCTGCCCCGTCTCGTCAGCCGGCCCGCCGCGTTGCCGCTGCCCTGCGGCGCCGGCAGCGCCAGCTTCAGCAGGGTCTCCCGCCCCCGTGCTGCGGACGGTCATGGAGTCCACGGCCCCCAGCTGCTGCACGTCGCCGTACTGAGGGTTGAAGCTCCTCGCCGCGTTCGTCGGCGCTCGGAAGGCGCCCGCGTCCTGCACCGCCTTCACGCGCCGCTCGGTGAGGCCCTTGTTGTGCTGGAACTTGTCGGCGTTGTCTTGGAGGACCCTGAACTCCGTGGCCGGCTGCTTCTCCACGTCCTCGGGCGCGCCGTGCACCGTCTCGTGGGGCCGCGCGTTGTAGGCCCCGGCCGCCCGCTCGAAGTGGTCGCTCCACTGCCCGCCCTTGCGCGCCACCCTCGTGGCCAGGTCCTTCTTCAGCGTCTGGATGCCCGGTCCACCACGGCAATGGCGTTGCGGTCCTCGGGCCGCTTCGTGCGGTGCACGGCATTTTCGGGCAGCTCCCGGTCCAGCGTGGCGAACTCGTTGCCCAGGTCCGTCGTGACCACGAAGTTCCCGTCGTCCCCCGTCAGCTCCCGCGCGGCGCGCTTGGTGGCGCGGCCCACCGTCTCGGCGTTCTTGTTCTGCAGAGGTTCCACGGCGGCCTCCCGGGTGAAGACGTCCATCACCACCAGGCCGTACTTCGTCTTCCCCCGCGTGTTCTGGCTGAAGTCGATGAGGTCGGCCTGCAGCCGGTCGTTCGGCCCCTCGGCGGCCGACTTGCCCAGCGCGCGCGGCCGGGGCGCCTGCACCTGCCGGCCCACGTCGGCCTTCAGCGCCTCGAAGGCCATGGCCTGCGTCACGTCGAGGTCGCGCTGCCGTGCGAGTCGGTACAGCTTCCGCGGGTCCCGCACGTTGAAGTCGTCGGCCAGGTCCCTCAGCGCCTCCATTTAGCTTTGTTGCCCGGGGCTGATCAAGGTTCCGCGAGAACGCGGAGGCCTGAACACACCTACTTCTTGCCCCAAAAAGGGGCTTGCGCAGGTTCCTCTAGAGCGAGGAGGCCTGCTCACACAGCTGCTCACGGTTTTTTTTACTCAAAAAGGGGCTTGCGCTAGCGTCCCTGGACGCAGGGAGGCCTGCACAGTTACTTGTTCTTCGGCTCCCGCTGGGCCTGCCAGGCTTCCACCTCGTCCAGCCGGGCCTGGAAGCCCTTGCACACCCCCCACAGCACGCTGGTGAGGTGAGAGTAGTCGAGAGTAACCATCTCCGTGCCGTCGCTCCACCGGGCCGTGCCCGTCAAATTCTTCCACTTCGCTCCTGCGAAGTCGTTGGAGGCGAAGCCCAGCCTCAGGTCCTCGTTCATGTCCGGGCGTTTGTACTGCTTGGCCTCCTCGGAGTCAAAGAGCTGCTTGAGCTCCGCCACGTCGGCCTCGGCCATCTCCGTCTTCACCCGGCTGTCCGACAAATTCGTGAAGCTCGTGTTGCAGACCACGTTGCCCGTGTTGCCCGCGATCACAAGGCAGCCGGGGTTCCTCTGGTTCGTGGTCAGGGACAGCTGCGTGGAGAGGCTCTTCGTCTGCACCAGCGCCTCATCGTTGATCATGATGAGCTCGCACTGGTGCGCCCCGCCGTCCCGCTCCAGGAAGACCCTGGCGCTCTGGTTGCCCAGCAGCCGCAGCTCCGGGCCGCTGTCGGGGGCCGCGCTGTTGTTGGACACCTGCAGCTTGCTCCAGCCCGCTCAGTTCTTCGTCAGGAAGAGATCGTCCGAGAAGTCTGAGGTGTTGGTTCCCGCCCTCCCCCCCCCCATATTGCCCCTTGCCCCTTGTCCCCCCTTCCTGCATTGCCCCCGCCCCCACTCTCACTCCCATCGCCACGTTGAGCGTGTTGGAGGCGAAGCGCTGCGGCGCGCGGAGACCGTGCCCGAGCTCGTCACGTCGCCGCAGACCACGCTGCCCCTAGTGGCCAGTGAAGGTGCCAGTCCAGGCTCTCGCAGTCCAGCGGGCCCGCGGAGGCCGCACCGGTGATGGTCAGCGTGGCGCCCGTGAGCGCCCCGGTGGCTGCGAAGCTCGCCGCGGTTGCTGCGCCCGACGCCGTCAGCGTGCCCGTGGACACGTCGCCCACCGTGGTGAAGTTCCCGGCGTTGGCCGTGTTGTTGATGGTGAGAGTGCTGCCCGTGATTCCTGTGGCGGAGCTCAGCAGGCCCACGCTGGCCGGCCCCGTGATGCTCAGCGAGCTGCCTGACACGGCCCCTGTGGACGACACCGTGGCTCCGGCGACGGTGCCTGTGGCTGTGAGCGCTGCGCAGGAGACTGCGCCCGAGGCGTCCACGCCCGTGGTGAACACGTCCGTGCAGTTCACGTCGTTGCACAGCAGCTGGTCGCAGCCCACGTTGCCCTGCGCGGTGAGCCCGTCCAGAGTGGCCGAGCCCGTGAGGGCCAGCGAGTCGGCCAGCAGGTCCGTCACGGAGACAGACTCTCCCTCGAAGGCGCTGGCCCTGATCTGCATGCTGTACAGGTCCAGCGTGCCCGCCGACTGCTGCACCAGCCCGGGGATGGAGCCGCCGAAGGCTCCGAAGTGCAGCTTCGCGATTCCGCCCGGCGGCACCGAGAAGTCCAGGCGCGCCGTGCTCCACACTCCCTGCGCGGGCGTGCCGAGGAAGGTGCCGGTGACGCCCACGTAGTCGTTGTCGGCCGCGCTGACGTACATCACCAAGTTGGAGGCCGTGCCCAGCCGGTACCGGCAGCCGAAGGAGTAGCGTCTCCCCGGCGTCAGCGTGTAGGTGCGCACGATGTTCCAGGCGAAGGCGCTCAGGGTCATGGCGTAGCCCTCCAGCTGGAAGCCTCCCACCGTGAAGCTGGCCGAGGCCACGGAGCTCTGGCTGTTGGAGCGCACCAGGAAGTTGCCTAGCGTGGTGAGCGTGGGCTCCAGCAGCACCTCGCCCAGGGTGGCCAGCGTG